GCGACCGGTCGGTCCTCCCTCCTTGCTGGTCGAGGCCCCCTCCTCTCCCTGCGTGGTGGAACAAAGCAGCAACAGCAGTTTCCCCATGTTCTGTACGTGATGATCACAAGGAAGAAGATGACGATATTTACAGTTATGCCACTGGTTCGTTTAATCTCCGTAGTTTCTTCGTTTTAATTCTGTTTTAGTTCGTTCCAGTTGCGTTAGTATCATGTCATGGAGGTCTACACAGTAGCGCTATTTGTTTTCATATCACATGATTATGAATTTATTTTATTAAAATATTAATTATGCCTATAATTAATTAATCCGCTGATTAATTAAAGTCGATTTAGGTTTTCAATTTCGATTCGATTGCGCGAGTTTCATCGCAGTGAGAGATACGTGTTAGTAGCAATGTTTAACATGTCTCACATCTTGGAAATTTATAAGTTAAATATTAATTTGATTAATCAGTAACTTCAGTATAGTCTTTGATTATAATTAGTTGAATATTGCATATGTGTTAAGTATGAACAGATGCCCTCACATGATTTATGTTTTAATTTATAGATGTTTAAATGACTAAAAGTATATATATAATCTTTTATAATTATAAAATATGACTTATGCCAACATTAATGCCTTTTTAATTATGACTTGCTTAGATAAATTATGAGACATAATATAATTGTTCTATTAGTTGCTCTCACATGTTCTATATTTCTAAAGTAAAGTTTAAATACTTTATATAATATGAGATATGTTGATTAATAAAATATGATTAATTAGTGACATAAACATGTATGTCTTTAAATTGTAATTTAGCGAAGTTTAAATGTGACATATATACTTTGAATATATATACTCTCATTTGTTATTATATTTCAATTTAATTTGCATAAAAGATATCAAAATATTTATAATTAAGATATGATTAATTTATCTTAGTTTTCTAAATCTAATAACTCAAGTATAAAATGACTTAACTCAATTTTAGATATTCCCCTGAGATATCTTATACATGTTTTATGACCATTAAAATAGATAAAGCATATAGTTTTCTTTCCAACGTAAATCCTTCGACAGATGTTTCTGTTTTACCGTAGCTTCGATTAGTGTGCCTTTCGCGTGTGTGTGATCGTAGCAATGTGTAGATTAGATTTCGAATCTTTTCATTGATTGGTGTATTGATCTAATCTAGTATGTTTGCTATGCATGCTTGTTCGGATGCTTGTGTGGTGCTTTTCGGTCTTATCCAGTCGGTGAGTTTTGCGTTGGTAATCTATAAGAAGTTGGAGATCAAGAAGAAGAAGAAGAAAACGTTGAAGATTAAAGCTTACCGAAGGATCGGTGTTTAAGGCAAGTATAGCTTGGGTTATCTTTCTGTGACCATGATCTTGAAACTTGATTAATGAATATGCTATAAACATAAACAAGATGACTTTTTAGCAACATAAGGACTTGTCTTGTAAGTGATCATCCGGGACTTACAGTACAGCTGTGAGGGCTATATGGCTCTGGCTTTAGCTCAGTATGAGGTCTTTTTCTAGCCGGCTTAGAGGATACTGCGAGTTGGGTATAGGACAACCTCTGTCCTGTTGAGCCTAGCTATGGAAGCGGCCTTTTATTTTTTTGGAAGGGGGGTTCCTATATCCGATGACCCTACGGCCCTTCCTGGTTAGACGGAACCTTTGAAAGGCTTCATAGTGAACCCTGTCGACCTTCCTTGGTAGTGGGTTAAGAGGCTGATCACCTCGGGCGAAAGGGCAAATCACGACTCACAGTGAAAGTGTACACCTCTGCGCAGAGTTTAATAAACTGGTATACTAGCCATGCTCACGGATACGAGCGGCCTTGGAACCCTTACATAAGGGATGATGACTTTTACTTGTTAAGATGATCATTTATGTCAATTGTTTAAGATATTTATTATTCAATTATACTTGATCATGTGGTTATGGAATACACTACCTTGTTGCTATATTTGCTTTGAGTTCGACATGGACTCACTCTTGCAATTTCCCCACACCTCGGCCGGATAATGGTTTGTCGGAGACTTGAGAAGTTAGGCTTGTGATCAACGATCGGGTTTGGATCCGATGGAGTGAAGTCTCGCACCGGGATCGAGTTGTCTATCCGTTGATTGCTTTCTAAGGTTATCTCTTTTGCTAAGTTCGCTATATATTAAGCATTACGATTTGATACTGCCCTTCATTTGTAGCTATATGTGAGATTTGTTTTCCAGGGCTCACATATGGTGTGCATTCGGCTTTGTCCTTGAAACCGGGTGTTACACTTTTGAATCTGATCCCTAGTAATAAATTCCTTGTACGACCAAACAAAAAACATTGGATTTGAATCACTTTCAAAACACCGGAAGAGGAGAGGAAGGAGACAGTGCTCACCTGTGTACGATGGGAGAGAAAATGGCGAGGGAGCGAGTAGAACGGGCATGGTGAGAAGGATTTATTGGTGTCCCATGACACGAAAGAGGGGGGGGGGGTTGTAACCCCAACCTTCCCACACGCAGCTGCCATGGCGATTTCAGCCTCCCGCGCGCTCACGCCCTCGAACTATCTTGACCAGGCTTCATGGGAATGAGAAAATTTTCCGCATCGGGAGAGCCAGGCCCGACAGCACCTTTTGCATGGGGGGTAAGCCTGGCTGCAACCCTCGCCCACCCAACCAATCAAGTGGATCGCACCTTGTATCAGCTAGACCTAGATGGGCCGGATGCGGGCAACCAATCACCACCTAGGAGGTAGTTGGAGGCCGGTGCAAGGTCCACCACCCTAACGATCATACTATCAGGGAGCGAAGGCGCATTAGCTGCACAAGATCCCACTTGAGGCCCCGTTCGCTTCCGGGTGAATGAACCCGAGGAACAATTCCTGGCCGAATTTCTTACTAAAATTTATATAAGCTTTCAATGGCCGGAACGGTTCCACGGCCGGATTCCCTTTAACCGAACGGAGGCTGAAGGTGAATGCCATGTTCCACAAGAGGAACTGAAGCATGACTTGCGGATCCCAGAACTTATTCTCCGGTGGCAAGGACGCTATTATGAAAAACTAGGTGAAAATGTTCACCATCGCATATTATTCTTTTATATGAATTAGGTCAAACTTATGATACATTGACATAGGACAACTGAATCCACTATTTTTCAAGATGAAGTACAAGTATAGGGGATGTGATATAACATCTGTTGGAGCACTCCCACCTTCTATTTTAGGTGTAGGAGATTTGATGGGAGATCCATTGGAGATGCATTAAAAATCAAGATGACGCCACGAATTTGGTACTATATATGAAGATATAGATGCAAAAACAATCGAAGTTGAGAAGAAATTGTGTGCATCGTTCTTGCCGCAATAAGACAGGCAGACAGCACCATACATACTGACATGTGGCGAGTCGGAGTCAGTAGGTTGTATACTATTTCTTTTATCGTGATCTATAGTACATTTTCTTCGTTTTGATCAACTGCAACTTCAAGGCTGGATGCGAGGACAATTTACAACGTCACTAGTGTTTCTTTGAAGATAACTAGAATAGTATGCATGCCCTCCGATTCTTCGGTCAGCCCGACTTACCGTGTTATCTCCGATTGATGAGTTGATTTGTTTTTCGGTGGCATTTACAAAAGTTCCAAATAGCCTTTGTTAGTTTCGTCGGGGCCAAATGCTTATGCATACCCTTTGTCCTTGCTGCATGACTTACCGTGTTATCTCCGATTCTTCGGTCAGCCCGACTTACCGTGTTATCTCCAATTGATGAGTTGATTTGTTTTTCGGTGGCATTTACAAAAGTTCCAAATAGCCTTTGTTAGTTTCGTCGGGGCCAAATGCTTATGCATACCCTTTGTCCTTGCTGCATGACTTACCGTGTTATCTTCGATTCTTCGGTCAGCCCGACTTACCGTGTTATCTCCGATTGATGAGTTGATTTGTTTTTCGGTGGCATTTACAAAAGTTCCAAATAGCCTTTGTTAGTTTCGTCGGGGCCAAATGCTTATGCATACCCTTTGTCCTTGCTGCGTGACTTACCATGCTATCTCCGATTCTTCGGTCAGCCCGACTTACCATGTTATCTCCGATTGATGAGTTGATTTGTTTTTCGGTGGCATTTACAAAAGTTCCAAATAGCCTTTGTTAGTTTCGTCGGGGCCAAATGCTTATGCATACCCTTTGTCCTTGCTGCATGACTTACCGTGTTATCTCCGATTGATGAGTTGATTTGTTTTTCGGTGGCATTTACAAAAGTTCCAAATAGCCTTTGTTAGTTTCGTCGGGGCCAAATGCTTATGCATACCCTTTGTCCTTGCTGCGTGACTTACCGTGTTATCTCCAACTCTTCGGTCAGCTCGACTTACCGTGTCATCTCCGATTGATGAGTTGATTTGTTTTTCGGTGGCATTTACAAAAGTTCCAAATAGCCTTTGTTAGTTTCGTCGGGGCCAAATGCTCTGTCGGCTTTATCGATGCTTCCTTTGTAATTATAGGTACTCAACTCCGATCGAGTCGATAGAATAAAAAATTGTACAGGTGCCATTTTTTTTTTGTTCTTTTGTACGCGCCAGCTTAAATAGTAGGAGTAATAGCTCTTTGCCTCGTGGTGATATCTTTCAAAGCTTTATTTGTGGGCTAACAGTCTCAGGATACCTTGCGCCTCCCCTGTTCTGTTAGCGTTCATCAATCCTATTGTAAGTCAAGCTAAGATTTGCTCCATTTGCTAATTAATTTGGTCTGGGGATCGGAGTGCTTCATTTTTTGTTACCTTTTTCCTTTGCCGATGAAGAAATTTTCAGTCTCTTACGCACATTCATTAACTAGCTCTGTTGAACTTATTTTCATCTCTTCCCAAATTCAAATATAATTTCAAAGTAGCGCAAATATATAATTAATAAGGCAACTAACATGATGATTTATCAATTGCTATTGTTAGATCTGGCGAAGTGAAAGGCTATGTATCTGCCGCCAAACTCTAGTCCACCGTGTGTCCACGTGTACTCCATGATGGACGACAGTGCGTTATTTCTTGCCCTTGAGAAAATGTTAGACGACGAAAGCGGGGATCCAATCGCCCTCCCATTCTCATTTTTGAAGGCCATCACAGGCAATTTCTCTGAAAATCAATTGATCGGCAGCGGTGGCTTTGGAGCCGTTTACAAGGTACGTGCGCCGTTAAACTCGCCACTTTGCTTATGGTACAATTTACTCTCTTTTTAATCTTTATTTATTAGTACCACTTTAGTTATGCAGATAATTATTTTTTTGAACTGCAGGGAACCCTTCAAAATGGGATAGTCGCCGTAAAGAAGCTTCATGAGAATATTGACATTCTGGAGAAGAACTTCAAAAGTGAGGTTGATTGTCTCATTCAGGTCAAGCACGAAAACATAGTACAATTTTTAGGGTACAGTTCGGAGACGCAACACGTAAGGGCACGATATGAAGGAAATTATGTCTGGGCAGACATGCGGCGAAGGTTGTTTTGCTTTGAATACCTAAGTAACGGGAACCTTGCTAACTATCTCACTGCAGGTAAGATCAGAGTCATAAATGTATCATTTTTACCTAGCAAATTGTTTAAGCTCTATTCATACATTTTCTAGGCCAAAGGGAGGATTTGAGCTCCATTTTGTTAATATTTATACAGAGAACATATGATGCACTTGTCTTTATCTCTTTCTCGTTTCTGTGTGTTGTTATATTTTTTGGTGCATTGCATTGTTTTGCTTTGCCATTCACTACTCTTGCTCAAACGGAATAGTGGACGAGCATAAGAGTATTTATATATATATAAATATAATAAGACCAAAGTTTATTTATATTATATAACTACAGTTGTGTAACAGTAGACAAAGCTCACATGATTGTCAAAATTTTCAAACCGGAGCACCCAATTTGTCATGATAATAATTTTGCATAGTATATAGTATAGTAATTTGCAAACAAATGGGCTGTTGGTTTGCTTCAAATTGCAACACCCACATTTTGGCCTAGACAAATTTTTTGTAACGCCCTAGAGTCCAAACACGCTGGATGAACCACACCTACCACCATCCCACTTACGCTTTCGTCCTCTCTTCGCGTAAAAGGATTAACCCGGGGATGATGTGATAGACTCTAGAAGCCTTATATATTGGTCTAGCCCACCTTTAACAACCAAGGTGGGACTAAACCATCCATAATATCTCATTAACATGCACATAGGCCACTATGGGTCAAATTCCAAACTAGTCCGGATGTGACATTTTTACAGAGAAATAAGTGATAGTTCAATTGAACCAAGTTGGTTGTTTCTTCTCCTTTTAAGCTTTCTATAAAAGCGGGACCAATGGTCTTTGGTCTAAAAGTTGGTTGTTTCTTGTGTTGGACTACTCATCTGATGCCATAGTAAGAATTAGTTGTTGTTTATTTTGTACTCTTCACAGAGGCAACTTCTGATGGACTTCGGTGGAGGGTACGCTTTGAAATAATCAAGGGGATTTGTGAGGGCGTGCATCATCTTCACCAGAAAAAAATTATTCACATGGATCTTAAGCCACAAAATATATTATTGGACGACAAAATGGTTCCAAAAATCTCTGATTTTGGTCTATCGAGGCGCTTAAGAGAAGACCAAAGCAAGATTATTACTGAAAACAGATTTGGGTCACGGTAGGTGTCCTAATTCTCTCTAAGGCAATAATGACGTCCAATTGTTTATCAGGCATCAACCAGCTTTTGTTTCGTACTGTTTACTAATTTCACTTATTACATCATGCAATTCTCATGTAGGGGATATTTGGCACCAGAATTTTTAAAAAATGGAATAATCACATTGGAGACAGACATATATAGCCTAGGTGTGATAATCACAGAGATTCTGATGGGGTGTAAGGAATGCCCCAATGTTGAAGAGGTAATGATCATTTATATTAATTACTATTTCATTATAATGGCTACATTTTTTTATCTAACTTACTTGGTATTATTCATCACTATTAGCGGTTTCCAAATCTACATATAAAGTATATGTGGTTTATACAATTATATATTTTGGGTGCCAACTCCCCACAAAACTCCTAATAACACACTTTGGTTGTGAAATTCGTAGGCGCATAAAAGTTGGATGAACAAGTTTGGGAGATCAGAGAGCCATCTACTACTAGAACAAGTAAAAGCATGTGCTGAGATAGGTATAAATTGCAAGGACGATGACCCAGAGAAAAGGCCTGCTATAATGGATATTATCCGTAGGCTTAATGAAGTGGATATTTCAAACTCTTCTATAAAAAGTGCCAAAAGCCTGTCGCCGAGGATGGTATGATCAGTACAGTAAATATATATGCTGCCACAAACTTCATTTCATTGATATATTTTGTCAGTGGGTAAACACATGCAAACTGCTAATGCTAACTTATTGATTGGCGAAAGGGTCCGAAGGACAAGATCTCACACGATCAAGGCTGAGCACATGGGAATTTACTAGGTTTAGGCCCCCTGTTACGGTAAAACCCTCCATCCTGGGTAAGCCAATGGCCTGGAGCTCTCTGTATGTGTATTGAGATTCTGATGGGAGAACCTCTTACATGGGCAGGAAAGTGGCCTCATATATCTTGAACGACACAACCCCTCATTGCCTGCTAAACACACCCATGCATACATGCACACGGAATAGTCCTTGGACGCGTGTCGATCTCGAGGGCATGGGAGTGTGTGTGTGTGTGTGGGGGGGGGGGCATGTTGCAGCTCTCTACCCTACCGTAGGTCACCTTGCTGGCCCCATGCCTCAGGACCCGCGCTAGGGACGTGTGGGCACGAACACACGGTGATCGAACCCGACACATGCTTGTGAATGAGGCGGGGCGCGCAGGTAATGATAATTCTCGCGTGCCTCAACCATTCCGTCTCATTAATGTGCATGACTATCATTGTCGCTGCCACACCGCCCTGTTCGCTTGAGCTACTTTTTAGCCATGGAACAGTGTTTTTCTCTCACAACATTTCAGCATAAGCTAAATTTCAGCATAAGCGAACAGGGTAAAGCCATGAGCAACCCCTGCAAGGGCTGCCATCTGCAATGGGCTGCCTTTAGTTGGTTTTCACTGCCACGGTGATGGGAGATATGCATGTATGGTCAGTCACCTCCACACTGGTCAATATGGACCCCAGCCAAACCAGCAACTACCAGTCCACAATAGATCACCCCAAAAGGGGCACCACATCACCACTATCTGCGTGTGCTAGAAGCCACCACCATAGCCTTTTGCCATACACCAAGGTTGACAGTAGCCATGCCATCACTGCTATCACCACTAAACCTGGTAATGGTTTGGTCCAAAAACGGATTTTTGGGTTTGGTTTCTTATTTGGGCCTGCATGGTTTCGGTGGAAATGGGATGGATAGTCTAATGAGCTGGTTCGGTTTAGTATAGTAGCTACAGTGGACCGATTGGGTTTGGAACGGTTTTCCATGCGTCTCCCGACGCCCAACACCTCTCTCTCGACTCGCCCCCTCGTGACGCCTCTCTCTCGACTCGCCATGGCGGCTAGGAATCATTTGTTGCTCATTTGTTCATGATGAAAAGAAATCATCCTCTGAATTAATATGGTTTATGAACCATGTTAATCATGGTCCTTCATAAGGTTTTGGCCATGCTAGCTTTACCAAAAAAAAGGGTATATATTATTAGCCAAAATTGGCTAACCTGAAAATATTGGATAGGTTGGTCATAGAGTGAGTTTGAATCCTCCATAAATTACATGCAAACTCAACTTGTACTTGGAGCAAGATCTTCCCAACCTATAAATATAAAGGGCTATGGCCGGATAAAAAATCAGCCCAACACATAACACATCATGTTGACGGCTCATTTTGGCTCAGCTCGTATGTGTGTGGCACATCTTTTGCCTTTTTTCAACTTCACAATAGGTGGATACAAATATCACCTATTTAAGTTGAGTCAATCTTTAGTCAATAGCCCAAATAAGACTTTAATGCACTCTAGCATTTAATATGGACCTTAGAATTTATTTAATTAAATAAAAATGGACCTAGCCCGTAATGGACGATGTTAGCCTCTCTATATATGTTGCCACATTGTATATATGCATGTTAAGTCTAACTAGTATTACTATATATGTTGTTGCAGTTAAGTCCTGTGTTAATTCAGAATGAGCGGCTCGATGTCCATCCTCTCAAGCTTTGCTTTCTCTTCGAGGCCAAAAAGCTTATCCAGTGCTCACTGAGCTTAATTAACAGGACGGATGGTTATGTGGCCTACTGGATTATACCGCAGTTCCCAGATATGTATAGTCATTTCGACCAACCCTACATTTTGTGCCCATTGTCCACTTTGATTGTCCATGTGACAATGTTAGAGCAACAATGGCCGCCAGTGGACGCGGGCGTGCTTAAGATACTGATGTTCGCCATGTGTAGCGAGAGCGTTCTTAAAGATCTCATCTCTTCCATTGGCAAGGACCCCAAAAATTTTGATGATGATTTATTCAAGCATGTGTCAGATTTGGGTGGCGAGGTGTATGCCGCAAATGTGACTACTATTGTGGCCTGTCCCTTGAGAGTTAATTGCCAGCTGTCGTCTGCCCCCAAGGTGAGTTTTAATTAATCCCTAGTAGTCGAGTGTGTGTGTGTGTGTATGCCCCTAGGAATGAAAGCAGTAGTGATGAGTTATAGAAATTCTGGTGACAAATACGATTGTGTCAGATCGTGTGGAAGAAGCGATTTGTGCACATGGGAGACATAGATGCGCATCCAACAACACAGCCCTGGTATGTAAATCTAATGATATTCACGCTGCTGTGTATTACTCCCTCTATTCCAAATTATAAGATATTTTAGCTTTTTTAGATACATTAGTTTTGCTATGCACTAAGATATACATTGTGTCTACATATATAATAAAAGTATCTAATAAAAAAGCTAAAACGCATTATAATTTAGAATGGAGGAAGTACATATCTAGCTTACACGCACTTACTTTTGTCCTCAAATTTCACCTTGTAGGATTTTGGTGGGTCATAAAAATTATGTTTCCATATGGGACTACGAGAGCAAGGTAGTGGCGTATTATGTGATTCAAGTATCTTGTACTTTCCATGCTGAGATGATTGAAACTGTTTACGTACGTTTTGTATAGATTTGGTGCAGTTTTATCTGCTAGACCAAAAGGACCTTAGGGCAGCCACAATGTTGCCAAAAGTGGTCCATAAGCCCCCTAAGGTGGTCACTATACACTATGAGCCAACTTGTAAAGCAGCCCATAAGGATGTTACAGCTAAAGTAGTCCATAGCGCTATTGCCTGCCCAGAAGCATAAAAAAATATTTCTTCCGTCTCCCTCTCTTCTCTCCAGCCCGGGTGTTGCATCTAAGACAACAAGGGAGTGCTTGGTGAAGTGCTCGGCGATGAGGTACACTCCGTGAGGCCGCCACACTCCACGCTCTGCGAGAAGGCGTCGATGTCCTTGGTGAAGCCCGACAGAAGAGGTTGTTCCCACCAGTGGTGGCATCGTGACATGGGCAAGGTGGTGGAGGGGAAGATTAGGGCTGAGCTTCGGCCAAGGAGAGCATGAGCTTGCGGTGTTGGGGGTAGGGATCTGGCTACATGGGTCCATGTGAGTGGCCAACGTTGCTGAGCAGGCGCTGCTCCAGCGGCATTGGTAACCGGCACACGCAGCTGCCTTCCTTCTAGCCACTGGCTTTAGGTGGCCTACTCAGGCAACAATGAGGTGGGGATAGAGGAGTGGTGGCAGCGTCGCCTTGCTGGAGTGATGTACGGAAAAAGGTTTGTTAATGTTACGAAGATTCTCCTACTATGGTGCTTGGTGCCAAGCAGGATGGAGGCATAAAAAGATCGAGATGACCCCAAGAGGGTCTGAATGGGCTCAACAAAACATTCAACAAACTAAAACAATTTTCCTAGAAATTGTTGAAACCAGATAGGTAAGTTTTGACAGTAAACCTAGAAACACTACATCCACTTTCCAAAACTAGCCTCATACAGTTTTGACTCAAAACATACATACAGATTTAGAATTTCCCAAAATCGTCTATCATGAACAAAACTTGGCGTACTGCATCTTTAGGTATTCAATGATAGGTTCATGGAGCCCTACACTCACAAATGAGCACAACCAAGTAGCTCGTTCGCAGAAGCTCAAATAAGTGATAGAAATGCAAAAGTGAGGTAAACCAAATCGGAGACATGAAGTTTAATTGTTTCCCAAAGTTTAAACGCATCACTTGTACCCTCCATCTTTGTTGAGGAGGCCATGTGAAGATGATATTTTCACTTGTGGAGGCAAGATCGCAACCCTTACAAAACTGTCTGACAGCACTCCACATGCTTGGGTGCTCGACAACAACGCCTAGTGATCTAGAAGGCTTCAACTCCACGAGTAACAAATGTTTGATGAGTTGCTTAGTGCAGCTACAAAGTGCTCAAGGTCGAGGATAACTCACACAACTCAAACATCCCACCTGAATCCAAAGGATATCCCACAAATCCAACAAGAACAAGGATAGGGAGAGCTCTCAGGGCTTGTTTGAATGTTAAAGGAAGTGAAGTGCACCAGTAGCCCCCCCCCCCAAAAAAAATGGGAGAGAGAGAGTTTAAATAGTCATCTCCCATGAAATAGCCATTGGGAAGTTTGTTAGTGAAAACTAGTCTAGCCAATTTCAAAAACAGGCCTGGCCAATTTCCTAAAAAACTAGCAATTACTATTGAACCCTAGCAAAATCAACATGGTTAGTTTTCCCACCAAATACCCATCTCACAATTTTAGTTATAATTAACCACTCAGGTTACTCTCATGGGTTGTTTGGAGCACTTGTAGACCTTGTCTACTAACCAGTGTTGCCCCACTCTTGATAGTATAACATACATATATTCAGAACCAAAGATATACAATTAAATCACCTTTGAGCTTCTATTTCTTGAATTTATGCCATCACATGAATTTTCACCACCTGAAGGCTTTCAACATTGCATAGCTATGAGCATGTAACCTTTGAGTTTGTAACTTAGGATCTTTCAAACCATGAGATCAAGACTACACTTGTCATCCTTAAGTCACATCTTCATATGATTCAACAATGGTTTAATACTCCATGTAGCATGACTCCTCATGGATTGCTTAGTACCTTAGATCAATGCAAGTACGTGCTCCATTAGCTTAGTCTTGGTACCTTAATCGACAAGCTATCACAGATGGGTAATTAGTTCAATGACGAACGTTTGGTCATCACAGTTCTAAAGCAGATCGTCACAGATAAGTATGAACAGTTGTGTGTGTGATATGTGACAAAACCCTGTGTCGTTCAATGATGAATTTTTGTGATGATATCTGATTTAGTCATAGATAGGCAGGACCAGAGGACCGTCACCAATGATCTATGACGAAACAAAAAAATTCATCATACAAATCGATCTTTTATGACACTTTTTGATTCATCACTAGGATTTTTGTCATAGATGTGCACATTTCTACTAGTGTTTCCCTTCACCTTCTGTTAGTCCATCGAAGTTATTTCCTTGCTACCTACACCCTATCTAGACATTCTTGTCACACCATGTCTTGTATTAACAATAAGCATTCATTTCAAGTCCATTTCATGCTTTGATCAATATGAAATCCACAATACTATCTTGATTTGATTTGGCAAGCCCTTCATGTGAAACTAACTCATGCAATTGTTAATGCCTCACTCTTCCTTTTTCAATAATTCTCGCCATGTTGATCAATTATGAAGTTCTAATTTTAATATTCCATAACATGAACAAGCTTCAAGTGAAAGTCTAATTAATATGCATCTTGCCTCTTTTGTCATTGCCAATATATGCTTGTCGATTTTCTATTTCATATATCAATCTTGGACTCAATTTTTGATTTGCATGTCATTTGGTGTACACGAGCCCAAATACATATACACATTGGGACTAAACACTTGCAAATTTTCTCATCAAAATAGGTCACTACCTTAAGTGTGTATTGTCATTCTATCTACCAAAACCAACTTAGAGCCTAGATGCCCCCTTGTGGGCCAGTGCGGCACCATCAGGTCATGCATGCATGTGACCTAGTTGGTGCCACAATGATCTCCCAATGGTGGTAGGTTGTTGTGGTTGTTTGCTTTGGTGGTTTGTCTCTTGTAGCATTGCTAACTTCAACATAGCGACTGTGATCCACAATGTGGTTGGGTGTATAGGTCTCGAGAGTGGGGGAATTTTTGGTGCATGACTTGCCCTCGGCTATGCTAGCAATGGTGATTCCTTTTGGTGCCACATATCCTTATCCATGGCAATTGTTGTTCGGCTCCCTCCTTCCCAATGAGTTCTAGTTGAAAAACCTTGTCTACGCGTTCATTGTTGGGGCATCTGATGATGTCATTTCCCTCCCTTGATGCTTTGTTGCGGAAAACTCCATTCCCATCACAAATACAGAAAGTTTGTTTCCTAGGGTGGTGTTTGGCGGCCGATGTTTTAGAGGTTCACTAACGTTTGTGTGGTGATTATCGTGATGTTGCATCCTTATTAATGGTCGTGGCTGCTTTTTTGTTTGTTGTGCTTTATTGTTTTTTCGCTACTATAGAAAATATTTTCGCAAAAACATTTTCACCACTAGCTCAGTTAAAATTGTTTGTCAAAATATTTCATTGTTGGTTTGTAATTAAATCGCTTTGTCATAATATTTCATGAACTGGCGGTGACAATAATTTTTACCGTGGGTTCATATCATGAACCAACAGTGAAAACCTACACAATATAAAACCCCCTTCCCTAAAAGCCTAGTCATCCTCATTCTCTCCCACTCCTAGCCGCCATGCCTCCGTCCACCCCTATGCCTCTCTTGCCTCTCCCTCCCTCCATCCCTCCTCCTCTCTGCTGGGGGCATGCATGATGTAGCAGCGGCACCCTGACAGAGGCCATGTAGTTGGCGGCTCGGACGAGAGCGCAGTCCCCACGGCCTGGGGTGGGTGCGGGTGTGGGCGATGAGTGTGGATAGTGGCAGACATGGACGACGATAGCATCTTGCGACCTAGGTAGTTTTTAAAAAAAAAAGAATTAATCGATTTTAACCAACAACAGTGATGAAGCTGATTATCACTGCCGACTTCCACCATGGAAGCACGAAACCAGCGGTGGTGGGTTTTACGCGCCAGTGATTTTGTTTATCATCCGGGTAGTCTTCTCCATTATATATAATATGCTCTTGCCAATGGGTAGTGTAGGGAGCAGTTTTACCTATATTTCGCCATGAGCAGTTAGAGTAATTCTTTTTCATTTATTGACAGGAAAGAATTGTTTCGTTAGATGTCAATGGGAAAGCATGCAAGTTATGTCACATCACAAATGGCGAAACAAAGGTCAACTCAGTTAGATTCATCCCTCAAAGGCACCGGTTTGTAGCCGGAGATAACTGGGGATATGTCCATGTCTACACGTGTCATACATGGAAGGAAATAAAGAGATTCAGAGCCAGCGGTGGCAGAAGTGTGGTATCATTGGCGATTCACCCTACCTGCACGTACCTGCTATCGGCGTGTGAAGATGGGGTGATAAAGCTTTGGGACTGGGACATAGGCTGGGCCTGTTCTCGAGTTGTTTGTCACTTGTTCCCGGGCAAAACAATCAGAGGTCGGGTCCTTGTTAAGTTTAACCCAAAGGACACCAACACCTTCACTAGTCACGACCAACACGGTCTGCTCAAGGTTGGTCTTTAATTTCCTTGTGCAGTATCTCTTGTGCTATTAAATGAACCGACTTAGTTCACGTTCTTAAGCTAAAAAAATTCACGTTCTTGGCTTTATCTAACTTTGATCTTTATTACATCAAAACCGAATAAACAGGTCTGGTCAATTGATTTGGCTATGCATATCACAACAATAGATCGAAATTCTACCGAGATCTGTGATCATGTTTTCACTGAGACCGACCGTAACAACCATTTGGTTAGTATCGCCCATAATACTATAAATGTAAGTATATATCGTTGTCTGTATTTGTATTTGTGTGGATTAGCAATGCAATCTAGTGGAACGTGTACTTTTTCTTTCTTCTCATGTTGAATCAGATATGGGATTTGAAGACGCGGGTACGTGGTCATACACTCTATGACACCGGATGTCTTGTTACTGCAGTAGCTTGCCACCCAACTCTTCCACTAATAGCTGCAGGCATCAAGATCAATGACATTACACACGCAGCTATTCGCTTCTGGAATTCCACGAACTACAAGTAATATTTCTTTTTCTGCGTGTATCCACAGGCTAGCACTCAAATTCCGTATTGTCGTGTTGGGATGTGTGTCTGTGTCCACACACATATATTCACCAATAATAGCCTTCATATCTATGCTATTTTCTAAATAATTATCTACCTCTGCCATTATGTAAAATATATAAAAGAACCTCTAAATTTACACCTAAATTACTCATCTTTGTCATTTTGAAAGATAATTTTAAGTAACCCCTTAGTTGGCATCTAAATTACCCACATATTCTATTATGAAAGATAATTTAAAATATGATATATATTTATAAATAGCACACTTCATCCGATTCAAATTAAAAAGTAAGCATAAATGCTATGTGCCAATATGTAGACCAAGTACATGCATACCTTAGTATAAATAGATCAATTGTGGAAAATGTTCCCTTAACAAATTAATCACCTAACAATGACGCTAAAATTTTACTTTAAATTATATTAATACTTTGTGTAAAAAAATTGTATGTTGTTACTTGAAATGAGATTATACATTTGGCTGAAATTCATATGACATGTCAATATTAGTAATTGAATTTTAGTCATTGTTTTTATAAAACAATACTACTACACATATTCTTCGATATAGAAAATTCAACATCTTAAGTGCCACGGTGTAGGTTGAAACCACTGTTTGTGCTATTATAGTGTAGTTTAGGACCAGGAATATGCTTTTAACGCAAAAGGAAAATTTTGAATATAAGATGCAATAGCCACTAGAACTTTAAATTAAAATGTGGATGACAAAAGATGTAACAACTATATGATCAAAAGTTGAAAGCCAAAATATAGATCTATATGTTACAATAAGAATTGATATAACTTAAACTTATGTTTCCACAAACAGATATTAAAAACACATAGGGTGCAATAAAAATAAAGTATGCATACACATATC